GAGAAGAACATAGTCTGATTGTTCAAGTAAAACGTTTCAGTGCTATTGACATCAGAACACAGTGCTGGTGATACTTTATATCTGTTTTGGCCTTTCTATTTCAGCTTTTTAGTAGCTTAACATCAGCTTTGTTTTAAGAGCAGTGAATCCTCATATTATTAATGCCAAGTTTTTTGGGGGGGGATTTTGCTGTAAAAGTGATGAAAAGAAAGGCCCTGAGCTTGGTAAATCCATGTGCTCCCTTTATGCTAATACCTTTGCTGTAGCACAAAATGGACAATTTAAAGAAACAAAAGCTAATTACAGAAAAGTTTTGATTTGAACTTCAAATTTTATTGCTGACATGAAGGGGTTCCTCTTGGGCATAGTAGTCTGTACAATGAAGAAACCAAGATCCCTTTCTTATATCCCAATAAGTACCAAGTCAGCTCTGGGGCTAATTAATCAAAACAAATTTACAATTAAGCCCATGAAGAAGAAATAATTACGCAGCCTGGTAGGGAAAAGTGCTGAAGGAAGGACAAACCTGAAGAGGAAAGTACGAGGTTCTCGGTATTGGCCCATGTAGGACAATTAAGTGATAATTGCAGAGGTCATGCTGCACCCAGCAAATGCACCCTCAGTATTATTATAGCTGATTTTTTTAATATTAGTAAATGCAAACATTTGCTTTTTGAGTAACTAAGGGTTTTGTCATGCACTTATGAAAATTCATAGCTAAGGCGCAGTGGTGTTTGTGGGAATAAATTAATACCCATCTGTCATAGCTGAACAATATTTTAGCTTGTAAGTGAGGCACAGTGTATTTTAAAGGGCAGAATAGCATTGCAATTGAATGCTTGTTTTACTCCTATAATTTACTACTTGTCTTTCTCGTGCTTTGGTTTTGACTCTGAATCTCCTTGAAATTCATACCTACATCCTGGTGATGCCTTAAATAAAATAAATTAAGTGGATTATCTAATCAGAATTTAGACTAGCTATTGTATTATTGTCTCTGATTTAGTCCTCTTTCCCAATAAAATAATCAACTTGGTCATTAAATGGACTCAGCTGCCCACACACTCCAAATACAAAATGAAGGACATGGTAAACCTGACAGAAAATGAAAAATACAACTTAATTAAATTTGTTCTAAACAATAATGTAATTTGCCCTTCTCTTTTCCTCAAAACAATAATCCAATTCTGGCCCTGTAGATTATCCACTAGAGGATCTGATTTATTGCCTCAAAATATGGAAGGGGAAGTGTTATTATTTAAATAAATGCAATGCCACAGTGCGAGGCTTAATTGTAAATCTCTTGGATTTGATCAGTCTAATTTATGTGTTGTATTCTGCTTTGCAATAATAAACTGGAGGTCCTGATCCTCCATATCCTCCATATCCACAGTATTATGAACATAAATAAAATAGCTCCACTGACCGAAATGGAAGTGCTAAAGGTAACTTTGTTCGTAAAAGTTCAAGGGCTTCAGATCCAGCCCAGCTCCTAGGTCATATATGGGCACTAAAAAAAAAAAAAGAGACACAACCAGCTCAAGTACCACCACTCTTAATATATTAGTAATAATTTAGTTTTCAGACTATATTCCCGAATGATAACACCATCCCAGCATGCCCCTTAAATATGTTTATAAATACCAGCACATAAAAATTTGATTAGGTGCTTGATAGAGTCCACCAATGCTTTGCATCTTTCCACAGCATGAGTTATTCCCAACTGGAACCTGCAAAGTTAATGTGTCTTTACACTGTAGAAAACACTAGCATCCTGTCCACCCCAGCAGGAGAATGTTAATACTCATTGTTAAGGAGGCAGCTCCCACGCCTCCCATAACTAGGGGTCTTCTGAACTCAAGGCGGCTCCTGGCTGATTTTGCAGGCAGACTGCAGGCTGGGCAGCCAAATGGCAGAGTGTGCTGGGACCCCCATGCCTGTGGCTGATGGGCCCCAGTGGTGCCACCCCTTGGTGCTGATTGGCTGCAAGTGCTGTTCATCATGCCCCACCTTCATCACTGATTGGCTCTGAGGGCTGTCTGTCATGTGGCCTCACCCCTTACTGCCAATTGGTGCTGATGGGCGGGGCCATGTGACAGCCCGTTAGTCAGTGGTGAGGGGCTGGGTGGCAAATACCTTGCTGTGCCAGCAGCCCCACCACCCCCTCCCTCCCGCCAGAGGGAGCAAGCATTTTATATTCACTGAGTTTTCCAGGGAGCCCACCAAAAACACAGACCCCACACTTCTTTGCAGGGCCTGCCTGAAATTGCAGTTTCCATGAAAATTGCAAAATCGCAATTTCGGTAGGTCTCTACCTATAACCTGTCCTCTTTAATATTGTCTCTGAGGCAAAACTGTGCATTCTTAACATAGCATTTCTTATCCCTGCCTCAAGATTTGTCTCTAGTACTTGGAGAGTTGGTCAAATGGCTAACAGAAGTCCCTGATTTGGAGTTACACACAGTGGTAAAAGCATCCCGTGGTGCTCCCAGTTCCTCACTGAATTCCTGGAGGAACAGAACATTTACTTCCTAGTTCCACAGGTGTTTCGATGTAAACTTCTCATATCTTGGAAGTGCATTTTGAGCCAAGGGCATTGTTTATTCGTTTTTTCTCCTGCAACCTTTATTGCCGGTGCAAGTGAATTTACCTTCCCTCTCTTCTGACGTTGTGAAGATAGGATGTAGTTAAGGGTATCTGGTGGGGGACAACCACCAGCTTTGTATTTCTCTTGGCACCTCAACACACATCCCCTTCTAGCTTCTCCGTACCCCTGCTGGACGTGGCATGGCTGAGAGGATGAGGAAACTCATAGGAGGGCTGGATGCAGCCTTCTGAGGGCAGAAGGAGAGCTTTGGAGTTCCTGCTTTCCATGAGGAAAGCTGACTTAGCTGATATAAGGTAGTGAGGTTTTGCAACAATGGCAGGAAAGAGAAGTCTTGTGAGTGCCTTCTCATCTGGGAGCTCACAGCTTCATGCCCAGGGGGTTCTTTTTAGGGTGGCAGATATTATGGCTCTTGCCTTTTTTCTTGCTCCTGTTGAAAATAGAAGTCTTAAGTCTCTTTCTACTGTTCCCTACTTTGTTTCATAATTGGAATAGGAGCTGGTAAACAATGAACTTCAAGAGGGTATGGGAGGAGAAGGGTTATGCCGGGGAGGAGAATTGGAAATGGGCTGCATTCTGAAGTGGGAAGGGAGGACAGCAAAACATTTGGCTGTGGAATTTCGAGAGGTTCTAGAATCAGCTTTATCCAGAAGCCATGATGAGGAGAGAGTCTGCACAAGGTAATGATCTTCCAAGAATTCCCACTCAGTTAAAGGAAGGAGCCCGAACCTTCTTGACATCTAAATCATTATTGACAAGTAAAGCATTTGACTGATTCCCAGGCCATCTTGTCCTCTCTAAATCCTCCAGGGCCCTCCCCTTGGAGCACTGTATTTTAGAGGGCTGGGACATTCTTTACAGTCCTCAAAATGGTTGTCACCTCAAAAGTTAAATTTGGGTAATGTAATTTGTTGAAAGAGTCTTAATAGAACCTGTTCATGTGTGTCCCACTCCTTTGTCTTAGCCTCAAGGATATGGATCATACGTAACCTTTTTCACACTTCTTTGGTTTGTACACAATCATTATACAGAATTTTGTTGTGACCATTTTTTAGAAGAGCTGTTTGAAAACTTTATAAAAATAAAGAATTCCTTCATTCCAATTTAAATTCCTTTTGAAACAAAATCCTGTTTCAGGAGGAATTTAAATTGACCCTTTGTTAGCTTTGTGCAATACTTTGAATCAGTAATATTGAAAGTTTATGGTTTTCAAAATTGTTTATTAAAGGAAAATGATTTTGGCCAATGAGAAATATTGCAATAACATTTTAAATGTAAAACCTTTTTTGTGAAAAATTTTCACTTTTTTTCCAAGTTTTCTTTTTATAAAAACCTTTTACAAATATTACATAGAAAAAATGACAAGCAGTTATAAACTTCTCTGAGCTATATACTCCAAGGAAATCCTAACAGAAATTAAAGAAAAGGAGAGTTAAACTCATCTTCCTGCCCTAGGATATACCATATTTTTGGAGGAAGCTTTCTGAGTTTCTTTGGGGGTCTCCACACATGGCTTCTATTTTGTATGGTATATTGCAACCCAGCGCACTGATCTGAAGAACCAAAATATCTATTACATTTTGAATTCTTATAGTTTGGTGTTAGTTCTCCTGTTGGATTCTAGATCTCAGCAGGCAAAGTCCAGTAATTTTCCCCCCTCTCTGAGCAAAAAAGGACCTTTAAAGCATCAGCATGTTACATTAGTTGTTTTGCTGGGCTCACAAATTTAATTCCCACAGACTCCTTCCAATTGTCAACTTGCTCTTTCCTACTAATTTTCAGAGCAACCTGGCTACTCAAGCAGATGTTAGACTAGCTTTAAAGTTTGGTATCCTCACAACTGTGATTTACGGTTTGCCTGCCCATCCCCACTTAATTGGCTATTCTAGAACTATATGTTTTAAAATATGCTCTTAGTATTGTTATAAAGATAAATATGTCTCTTAAACTGTGTTCATTTTTCAATGCACAATGTATCCTTTTTTCAAACTTCCTGTAATTTCACATCAGCAGAATAAAGTATCAAAAAAGTAACATTTACAGATAAAATGCAGTATCAAGACCAGGAGTCATTTTTGTACCACTAACTGATAGTGGGAAGTGTGCAGTCTTATAGTTGTCAAAACAATGGGTTTGGTGGATTCCGTATTTCATTAGACTAGTACACTCTTTTGGTCTTTTTTTTTTTATATAGAAGCACTGACTCTCACCTAAACTGAATTTCACTGTGGTATTGGGACAATACTTGCTAGTTACCATGAATAAACTTTGTGGCAGATCTGCTTTGCTATCTAGTCACTTCAGGTTGTGGTAAGATCAGGTGGATGAGCAATAAACTTTTACTAAATATGATCTAAGTAACTAACTTCTGCTTTTTTTTTTTTTTGTATTTTAGGCCAATCATAAGAGAGTCCTTTTAGCCTTACCAGCAAATTGCAGATCATCTTGCACTGGATATTGTAAATAGTTCCATTATTACGTTAAAAGTGAAATTTCCTTCAGTCTTGGATATCTTGTTTCATGGATGTTGGAACAGACCTGTTCACCTGTAAATTGTTAATTTGTGGAATATATAAATGGTTACAGTTTTTCTGGTTTTATATCAATAAATGTTAAAATTTGTGTAAATCAGTCTTAGTTTTTGTTTTTTAAGCACACTGAAAGAATGTACTTTCTAGCATTTTAAGAAAATCTAGATACTTAATGAAAACAGTCAGCATCTTGCTTGTAATGGTAAAAATCTGGGTCACTTTGGTGAAACCAATATTCTAGACTGGTTTAAAACTATTGAAATCGATGGTAATTTGATCAATGTGGGTGCATCTACATGTGCACATTTACTGCACAGGAATTTAGGTTATTGCTCAGTGACCAAAAATTACGATGCACGTCTACATACGCATGCCCTTATTGCACTGTCAATATGGTGACTTAAGCTGACTTGGGCATAAATTTGATACCTGCATCATGCAGGTATCAAATTTATGCCCGATTAGTTACTGCGCGGTAACACTGTGTGTGTGGACTGACTTGGGGCTAACTTTACTAGTTAGTAAAGCATTACTGTGCTTTAGCGGCTGCACATGTAGATGTCAGCCTAAAAATTGCTTACTGTGCAGTAACTGCATGTGTAAATGTGCCCTGTCTCAGTTTCTGCACAGTAAATGCATGTGTAAACATGCCCTGTGTGAGCAGAATTAGGCCAGTAGTGGGTGATCTTAGAATCCTATCCTTTAGTCTTCTGGTAATTTTTGGTCCTGGGTTGAGTTATTGGAATGCAACTAGTCTTATATGCTTCATACAAAACACACACGAGGTCCATGCTGAAATTTGAATTTGCAAACATTTTATTGCGTTTTGGAGTAAGACTGCAAATTATAGTTAAATTCCACAGCATAATCCAGAGCCTTTACTCCTCTCTCAACCTATGAAGTATCTGACTTGCATCACCTTCAGCATGCTTTCTGAAATCTGGAAGATGTTTCCTATTAGTTGGAGATAGTGATCTCTAAGCATTACCCATTATGGCAGGTCTAAGATAGTCATCAGAATAAAATAAAATGAAAGCACCTCCCATCCCCTCAGGAAAATATGGTCCATTAGTTTTTCATTTGCTTGAAGCATCAGTTTTTAATAATTTTCCTTTCCTTTTATCTCCTGGGAATATCAATCTGCATAGATCTATTATTAATTCTACAGCAACGAGCTCATCTTCACAGAAATCTTTACTATTGGTAGTAAAAGTCAATCCTCCCAGAAATATTTAAAATCTGAACTGTGTTGAGGTAAGCTGTGAATACTTTTTGAAAATAAAACTATCTTAGACTATGCAGCATTTAGTTTATACCCTATGGGCTGGATTGAGACAGTGCTGTCTAGTGTTTAGAGACTAGGAATCTAGAGCAAAACAGATAGGAATCTTAGAGCTTTGGGAGAAAAAAAATTGTTCCCTGAATAGGGGTAAATTCTGCTAAAAATTGTTATATAAAACTCACTGAGAAGGGGGAGAGGACAAAGTTTTGGAGATTGGTTTCAAACTGGTTTCCAGTTTCCTGCCATCCAAACTGCTGGGGAAAATTCCTTTTTGAATCCTATCTGTAAGAACATTGTTTAAACCCACAGTTTCAGTGCTGTAGCTGCTCAATCTCACTCCCCAAACTTCCACTGTCTTCAATGGTCAATTGTTTAATCAGTCAGGCTCTGTGTGTGGGGTGGGAGGGGGGGAGCATGTTTTCTTACCTTTACTGCATCTTGCAACCTGGATCACACATACATGGAGTACTGGCTCCTGGCTACAAGTTTCACTGTATTTATTCACATCACATACTCCATAGGCACTGACTTTGGTTTTTGCCCATGGGTGCTTGCAGGCGTAAAAACAAACAAACAACACCCCCCTAGCACTTTACTTAAAACTCAGCCGGCTTGTCCAGACAAGTGCGCATGTGCCTCCTGCCCTGTCTCAAACCCCTTTGAGATAGGGCAAGCGGCACATGCGGGAACAAAAAAATATTGCAGTGCGGGGAAAAAATTAGACTCCTGGGGTCTAAGAAAAAGGAGGTTTAAAAAAGCAGGGCAGGGCATGCCTTGAGGCAGCCAGAGGCTGGGTCCTCCACGGAGACACTCTGGCTGCCAAAGCATCTCTGTAGTTGGCCCCTCACCCTGATGCTGAACTGAACATGTGGCCTACCATACAGCGCAGCACCAGGGCTCCAGTGCTGTAA